ACAATTGACTATTTATTTCAAAATTACAGAAAATTATGACACTGTTAATTTATTTTTGGTTTACTGAACCCGTTAACCATACCAATTAAGACAGAGTTTACAAAACAGATTAATATTTTATTTCAAAAAAAGAAATAAATAAAAAAGAAAGAATTTAACAAAACATTTCTACTACAGTTCAAAAAAAAGAACGAAGAAGAGGTCCGTTCATCCTCATCAATTTACCAATCAAAATAACAATGTGATTCCGGCTTCGAGCAATTCCAATGATAAACAAAAACCGTGCAAACAATGCAAGAAATAAAAAGTGATTTTTAAATCGGGGGGTGGAAGAAAAAAAAAATAACATTTTTCTTTTGTACTTAGTATGGTATTTGTTAGAGAAGGGTCGTCCTTCGAGATATCGTCTCGGCTGGACGCTCACCATCTCTCTTTTCACGGCTGGTCGACCCCATATCGTCTGCTGAAGAAATGACCGAGAAGAGTAAGCCCAGAACTGTTCAAGACATGGATTTTCTCCGGTCCACCTTACCTCGGACGATGCTGCTCGTGATTATGATGGGGATGTCGGCGTTCTTTAAATCTGTACTTTGTGCGGTGAGTGAACTTAAATTCGTTTCCGTAGTTTGTTCAGTTTTATATAGGTTTATCTTGAAATATTTTATTGTATCACTAATTTACAAAGGAAAGAAACACTATCGCTTTTTTTTTTATTAAAAAAATTTAGAGATTTTTGAGATTGGATGAACAAAGAGAACGAGTTATTTCCTGACATTGAACTATCTTTTCCAGTGGTTCCCAACTTTTTTAGGCTATGGAATGATCGAATATTTTTTAATGGAACCCTAATTTTATAAATAAAGTTCATTAACAGTTTTGAATAGATTAAAGAAATATTATTAATTTGAAAAACTAGAACTGTGTGGAAAGAAATTTTTTTCTCGTTTTATCAATATAAAAATGTTCTTAAAATTAAGTTTAACGACAAACAATTTAATTAACGGGTCTGTAGGCGCATCTAATCAAGTAATTATTTTGGTTTATAACATAATTCTTTATTCTTGAATTCGGTTACTTCATTATAAATTCAAAAGTGCAAAGAGAAAAAATGATGCTTTTTTTATAAATGTAAGCATTTTTATAATTTATTTAATTTATTGATATGGAAGGATTTATTTTATAAATTTTGATATTTGTTTTTCTTCTGCACCGCTTTCTGCAAAATTTCTAATAAATTGGTAGCGAATTAAATAGTAAAACTTGTGGAATAAAGATAGTTACCACCACGAAATAACTGCAATAAAGTTGCAATTCAAATAATACTTTGAATTTTTAGTATTTGGTGGTATAAAAATTATTTGAACTAAAAAATACTAAACTTTAAAAAAAAACTTACATTTCGTTACCACTAGAAAATATTTTTTTTACAAATGGTATCTCTGCAATAATCGAAATGAAAATATTTTTACCTGATATGCGTACTTCGAAGTATGTACATTTTCTAAATTTAGCAACCACTTTAAAACAATTTCCTACCCGTGCTTAGGTCATGCCATATCAAGTCTAGAGAGTTTGATGTGGTCTCAAAATTTCAACATTCATGCTTGATTCCAGTTTTAAGAAATGGGATTTTCATTTACTATCATTAAATTTAAATGGTTTAAACATTCGCAAAGGAGAACGGCTAATTACCTTATCGTATTTCAAGTGATAGTGAAAATTTAATTTAATAATTATTTAAAATATCTATTTACAATAAGTATTTTACTACTACTGGGAAAAACTTTTTTGAAAAGCGTAAGAGTTAGCAGGCATAAGAGAGGGTTAAACTTTGTGTCATTTTCTCGGATTAGAGCCAGAGATTGTCGCCAAAGGCATAGAACAGAGCGAAAACTGTTTGTGTTTTTTTGTTTTTTTCTTAACTTGATTTTTTAAATACTTGTTTATAGTTATAATATACATAGGGCTGTTTTTTTTCTTCGGAGTAACAGTAAATACTGATAAACAGTTTAATTAAAAATTGTAAGAGCTTATTTTGATCTCCATGGAAAAAAAACCAAAAAGGAAATGGTTTTACAATTGCTTTTTTTTCTCTTTTCTGTCTTACATTCAGCCCTGCTTCTTTAAATTTATAACAGCTAAATGTTCATACCTAATACAAACTTTAATGATTCATGCATCTATCAATAATCAGCGTATATCAATCTGCTATCATATATACCTTTTTTAGGTACATATTGTAATACATGATAATGAGGTCACTAATATGAGAAAAATCAAGCTAGATTTCTTAAAAAAGCATTTTTTTCATTTTAAAAAAAAATTCTGAATTTATTGAGATGGAACTTCGCTCCCAACAAATACTCATCAATAGTTAAACTGAAACTGATTTTCATCATCAGAATATTCTTCAAATAAATATTCAAAGATACTATACAAGAAGTTACAAAAATTATTGAAACCAATGTAAGAGGTCATATAACATGAAGATCAAAAGGGGGGAAACGGTTTATGTTCATGAAATTTGTTTCTGAGAAAAGAGAATTTCAATGTTTGAGAATTTTCAGGAGAGAACATTCGATTGAATTTGTTATTTATATCCTCTATAAATTTTAAAACAAAATTTACAATTTTTGATGTTGAGAAAAAATAAAATTTGAAAATCGGATTGGGCAAGAACTGTTTTTTCCTCAAAATTCTTCACCAATCAATTCTTCCCCAATAATACTAGTACTCCCGTCGTCGGCTTCATTGAATTGTTTTGTGCTCTTCTTGTCTGCACCTGGACAGGAATTGTTTTTCCCTCATCGGCCCATCTTCACCGAGTAATAACTCCCGAGGAGAAACGATTTTCCACGTTATCGATTTGCCAAAACTTAGTACTCCTCAAAATGCACAAGATGGCGATCCAAGAGTCATTTTTGTAGAAAATGAACATAAAGGATTCTTCTTCTTGATCTTAACATTTAAAAACACATCCTCTTACTCTACATGTTAGATTAGAAAGTAATGAAGAAAAAACAAAAGGACGCGTGCTTTTTAAATATGGATAATACAGTAAAAACGAATAATACAAAAAATAATCAGTGTTAACTTTATAGCAAATGTTCGAATTGCTACAGAACATGGGTTCTGTACAGAACTGCTGCACAGAACTCTAATGAAATAATAAAAAAAACATGTTAAAAACCCGAACTGAACAGAAACAAAAATTAACTATTTTAATTAGTATATTACATTGATTTTTTAATGCTTATACGGAAAATTAGAAAAAAATCTGCAAAGCATTCTAAAAATATAACAATTAAAAAAAACATTTTAAAAATACATGCACTTAAAATAAAAATCATAATTTTATCATAATTAATATCGGTATCAGCGTGAAAAATTTTCTTTTGTATTTCATTTTTATTAAACTGACATATATACACGATAAGTGAATTTCATTGTTATTTTTTTTCACTTTTTATTCAGAAGTAAGTAAGCTTGCAAAGAAATTCGCAATCTTTTAATAGTTTTTAATATCAAAGTCAAAAAAGGGTCCGTTTTTATGTCATCTGGCCCTATCTTTTTTTAATAGTTTTTCTCATACTCTGTTATTCGCCACCCTAAATAGTACTCATGCGAGAGAGAAAATAAAATCTATAAAAAGCTTTTTATAAAATATTAACATTCATTGCGATGTTTTTATAATTCGTCATAAAACAAATAAGAAGCAAAATTTTCTCACGTTTTCTGCGTTTTTGAGAGTAATAAAAATACGCAAAGTTCAAAACTATATTTCTGATTAAGTTCCTTGAAATTATTAATTTTATAATGTATAGTCTATATTGGCTTTAAAAATCATATGATATTGTAAAAAAGGGAGCTTTTTAATATAAAATTTATTATTTATAATAAACAATTAAAAAAACCTATCTTTTAACAGATATCATCTTTTAATGAAAACTTATGAATGAAGGACTTATTCAAGTGATATTTCTGGAGAGAAAAAAATGAGATGTGTTATTTTGCAATTATTTAACCACACAGCATTAATTTATTTTAGCATTAATCTTAGCTTGTCGTTCAAATGGAAGACTGTACAAAGTGCATTTGATAGCCATTAAGGACTAACTTTGAAAAACATGTATTTTTTCTATTTTCCAAGATTATTATTTGAAACGCAAAGAGTGTAAATGCTTCACACAGCAGTTTAAATGAATGTTACTCACTTAAAATTAATAAGTTAATCCCCTCCTTAATTTTTTTTCACTTAACTCGAATTAAATACACCTATGCTTGAGTCAAATATTTGTTTGGCGAAAAACCAAACTTGAGCTACAGATATTTAAGCGATACTTGAGTTATTTTTACTCAAGCATTATTTTATGAGTGGCAGCACAGCAGTTCATAGAGACTGTTAAAAGTAGATTCCATTTATTTATTATTTGTGTGAGAGCTGTAAGCTAGAATTTGTATAGTTTTATTTTAAAAGGAAAACGATTTGGTTTTCAAGTTGCGATGGCGGTATGATGGAACAACTTGTGTAAATAAACGTTTTATGTTTTCCTTTATAAAATGGAGTCAGATTTTTTTATTTTAATTAAGTAAAGAACTACAAAATATTAAACTTTCTGATAGATAAACTTTCTGACTTCTTAATTTGACTTAACGCTTTGTTGGATATTTTATTCTTACTTGCTATTAAGTCTTCGAATTATTGAATAAAGAAGAATTGAAATATTACGATTCGTAAGTTTAACCAAATGGAAACTTGAAGACAAGAAATGAAGGAAAAGTACTATTTTTATTTTTTATTAGTAACGAATAAGTTTCAAAACTAATTTACTCAAATTTACTGAAATTTCACAAAACCTTTATCTGTTAACTTGATAAATATGTATTTATTCTGCCTTTTGTTTCTTAAATATAATTTTATTAACCTTACTTATTAAGAAAACTATACATCATAGTTTGCGTACTGATTGTTTAAAAAATGCACTAAAACTATTCCATTAGACCTTTACATTCGAAGCAGTAGACCCTGTTTTGTAATTACACGAAAAAAGTTGTATGGTTAAACTTTATACACATCTGTCTATCAAACTGCCTCGTATTTAAGGGAGAATATTACTGAAAAATAATCAAGTAATCCAGTTTTTTATTTTTACATAATTCGTCAGTAAGTTGAGAATTATATATTACTAATATAATTATATATTATTAATTAATATACCAGCTTCCTGGAAAAAAGCATCCTTCTATATTTTAAAGTTTCTAAAAACGACATTCGAAAATTCATCATTATGCATTTTTATTTTAATTTAGCTATTGAAATCTGCAACAGAGATTCGTAATCTTCTTCAGACCCAAAATACACATTCACCAAGTACAGGGTACCAACAACCTTAAAAGAGTGGTGGCGAACTTTTCTCAAAGCTGTTTAAACTTTCATTAAAGTTGACTTCCAATTTTGAAATTTTCACACCACGACTAACGTATTGTTATTAAATATGAATACTTTAAAGTGTGTATATTATTCAATATTCAGCCACCAGTTTTAAGCGATTTCCAGTCAAAACATGTCAGATCTGCAGAAGTTAAGAGATATGAATTTTTAATCTGAAAAGCTGAAGCAAGAGTTTGCGAATTTCGTTTTAAAAGTTTAACCACCAGATTTTTAGTTTTTTTCAGAAATTTGGAAAAACGAATACATATTCCCATTTTATTGATTGTTTTTGTGTCAACAAAACTAAGAAATAATACGCAAGTTTTCATTAGTATTAAAATCTTATAAATTTGTATTAACTTTCACTATTGAATGCACTAGTCTCAGTGTTAGTCATATTTAACGTTTGTATTGTAGAAAAAAAAATAGAAAAATAAAAATTAATTGTCAACTAGTTCCGCTTTTCCATATATTTTGTGTATGCATTTTTGTATATGCCCCAATATTATGTATGCATTTTTTGCTAAATTCATGCATAATAACGAATACATAATATTTATGCATTAGTATTCCTCTAAATTATGTATGCATTTTGTGTTAAATGAATACATAATAATAAATACATAATGTATCGCTATATTATGTATGCATGTTGAGTTAAATGAATACATAATAAGGAATACATAGTATGATCCTTTATCATGTATGCTTTTTATGTTAAGGACATACTAAATAATGCATCCCTAATATGACCCATATTACGTATGCATTTTGTATTAAATGCATACATAATAATCCCCTATGTTATGTATATAATTCGAGTTACATGCATGCCAAAAACTGCTTTTGTAATATGCCATTATGTTATGTGTGCAATTTTTGTTAAATACCTACTATATTATCTATACACTTTGTGTTATATTCATACATAATATGCCCCTATGTTATGTACGCAATTTGTGTTAAATGACTACCTAATAATGCATAAATCCTATATCATATGCAGGGGATGGAAAAAATGTGTTTTTTTATCTTTCTCAAAAAATACTTAAAAAAACCTTTTATAAATTTAGAAGTAGTTAGGTAATACGATTTCTTATACTTATCAATGAAGTTTAAAGCTTTTAGAGGTTTGAGGGTCCGACAATAAATTAAAAACGGAAAATAGTGATTTTCAACATCCTATGCCAAACAATGTAGCAATAAGTTTCTAAAATGTAATATAATTATTTTGGTTATTGTGTGCAATAATTGCACAAAATTTCGTAAACCCAGTTTAAATATTTATGAAGATATGGACATTTTTATAAAAGACTAACTTTTCGTCACATGTTTTCCAATTTCAAAGATATTCAATGAAATTTTTAAAAAAATTGGAGCAATTTAAAACTAGTAATTACAATTACTGCTTCAAATTTTGGGAAAAATTCTCTAGATAGGGTAATTAAAGTAGTTACTTTATATTGTGCATGAGCGGGAAAAAATTAAAGTTTTTTTGCTTCATTTTGAAGTTAATCGTTTTTGGCAGCTAATAAAAGAAGTTCGATTTGAATATCTTGAAAGTTAAGAAAGTTTCAAACAATTTTCTAAGTAGTTTTCGTACTTTTTAAATGAGAGCTCAAATTTATAAAGGGTTTTTCGAAAAATTCATTTTGTACTAATAAAAAAGATTTATTAAAAATGACACCCACATTGTTGGGGATCATCCCCCATAACAGTATCTTTTCTTTCACGTGTTTTCTTTTCTTATACAATTATATTTCGGTGCATGAATGTTTATTGTAAAGTATTATGATTCGTTATATAACTTTGTCTTATGATACAAAATAATATTTGTAGAAAACCCCTTATCATTTTGAGTTTCTTTTGAAATGGTAACTAAAAAAATGGTAAAGCAAAAAAATTATTAATACCTTAAATATTAAAAAAAAAGAAGTTTGCATGGCAAAGATATTATTATTACAGCTGTTAACTATATCCACGGTATGGTTAAAAGCAGTAAATTTGCCCCTTGTGGGAAATCAGTTTTGATACGCCATAGATAGAAAAATCACCGTAAGTGTTATTTTTCACACACATCGGTTCACTTCCTGGTTCAAATTGAATCTATATAATTCTAAGTTTCTTGAATCATTCGTGCAATTCAATGAATTTCATGATGTATAATTTTCGTTTTCTCTTTACAGGAGAACAATAATTCTAGCGATCCAACATCTTCACTTGTCACGGGTAAGTGAAAATTTAGCACTTTTTTTCTTATCGGGCACAACTCCGAATTCGTCAACTTATCATTTTACATTATCAATAAATTGTGGGAATGAGGCAAACTTTGCATGGAAAACAAAGCACTATTATGGTGTCATCAATTTGCATTTTTATCTGAAATTAATTTTCATACAGTGTGAGTTTAAAATGTTTGTAATGAAATTTAAACTAGATTAAAATTTAAAAAAACGGACCACCCTGAATAACTTTTGATCTAATGATGGAATCTTCACGTTCTAGGACTCAATTTTAAATGATCAAAGGGTTGACCTCAAATCAGCTAATTAATTAGTGCAGACGATATTTCACGTTATGAAATCAGACACAAAAACTCATTTTCTCTACTGTACTTTATTAATAAAAATGTCGTAATTTTAAATTTCAATTTCTTAGAAACTATTCGAGCGATTTTGCTCAAATTTTGTATTTTACCATTTGAAATTACATTATTCAGAATGAATTTACATTATTCAGATTTGTATGAGTTACAATTTGAAATTTTTTGACTATAGTTTATATTTTTGTATTGTATTACTTCATCGATGTATAAACCAAATAAGAAAAGAATAAATATTTACTCAAGGTTATATTTTCTGCATGGAATTATCTTTGCATAAACGAATTTTTATAGCTGAGTACAAATGTTTGTCAATTCGCCTAAAAAAAGTTCCCGAGATATGGCGAAATGCGAAAAAAGTGAAATTTAAAAGTAAGACTGCTCTCTTCACCAAACTATCTGGACAATATTTCCCAGAATGTGGCTATGCCACATATTTCGATGGCAAGAAATCCAAATACGTCAAAAAGAGGTATGTTTATTCAGAAGAAGTAGGCTTTGAGTCAAATTTCGCAGTTTGAAATATCGTCTTCTCTAAGTAATTAGCATATTTTAAGTTACCGTCTCAAACCATTAAGATTGAGTCCTCGAGCGTGAATATCTAATTATTAGTTCGAAAGTTATTCAGTTTCGTCCATTTATTTAATTTATTTATTTTTTGCGCTCTTTACTGCATACAAATTAAATTTCAGTATTTAAGAGTTAAATAATAGCATTTATCTTTTGGAATTTTTAAATTTTTATTTCCTGAATTTGTATAATGCTTTATCATTTCACTTGCATGATACTGAGGCATTTAATATTTCTATACACTACTGAATTTTTTATCAAGAAAATCGGGTTCGGAAAAAATATGTTTTAAAAGTTTGAGATTTTTTTTATTGTTTAAAAATAATAGTTTAAGCATATTTCAAATGGAGCAAAAATATTTTTATCTTCATTAAATATGTAGTTTCGCTTTTCTCAGTTGAATGCGTCTTTTACAATAGGTATTGTTTCACAATTTTTTTTTCAAAATTGAAACTATACATCTCCAAAAATTTCGAAGACGAATGCATGAAAATTGAAATTTATATTAAGGGTTTCGTTTTCATTGTTTGCGTTGAATTGAACAAAAGATTTCAGATTTTTCCTATTCCAGAATTTTTTTTAAAAAAAACTAGTGAATAAAATTAAATTATTTATAACATTAATTTACATTAATTTTTATTATTTACCTTATTTTATTTTATGTATTTAATTTTTATTTAATTTCATGTTTTTTAAATTTTAATTTTAACTTTTTAATGGCACATATTATATTTTTAAACATTTTTAAATCAAGTTTTGGGAAATAGAGTATTGTTAATAAAAATAAAAAATAATATTTTTAAAAACCACGTTTTTGTAGTGGAGAATAATAGTTAAAAAAAATTTGAAAAACGAAAAATGTGGGGCGCATGAAATACATAACAGTAATGTTTTATTAGTGTGTGTATGTGTGCTCTTGAGAATATGTGCATGTATATCTGTAATTGTAATTGTATCTGAATGTGGATGTGGAATATGTTTGTGTATATGCATATGTATGTGGATGTATATGTG